CGACGACGTAAATATTAACCACTTCGCGCGTTTCGTCATTTATTCAATAGCGGAATTTTGTTGCAACGGAATCGCTCCGTCGGAAGCATCGTGCCGTTGTTCGAAGGTCGCAGATATCCCACCGATATCGTCGGTATAAAACAAAGGAGCATGTGAGGTCAAACGTAACGTGATTAAGTGAAGTTAATGTCAAATTAATGTTAAATATTACGACATTGATATTACCTTCCGCGGATCGATCGAGCGTACCCGGTGGGACTCGCGAACACTTCTCCGCGATATCATCCGCGTTGAACACACGTGAAGGGGACGAGTTAGCGTCAGGTCGATAAATTCCTCGGAAATGAGAAAACTGAAACCTGGTAATGAGTCACTTCGCATTGCGAAGGCAGTGCGTCAGCTTAACCGAATCGCCATTTGTATTCTAACGATCTGGACCGACAAGCGAAATCTGCGACTTTCGAAGTATCTATTCGTTCGTTCACAGCGTACGAGAAACCTAAGGTTGAAAAGAGAACGCGCAGGAAACTGAAACGGGACATCACGAGCGTTAAAGATGTCCTCGATGTCCTACGTGGCAGCCTCGTTCCAATTTTATCTTAGAACATGGAGCCAAAGGACGACGAATTTCATCGAAGGCATCGGCATTCCCGCCGTTCGTTCGCGAATTATTTTCGCGCCACTCTCGAGAGGGTATTTCGCGAGGAGAGTAAATCGAGCGAATTCAGGCCACGCGTCGCGGCTATATAAGATGGCAACCACGATCGAAGTAGGAAAGAAGTTTGTATCATCGTGACTCGCAACGTGACTAATTTCCGAACGACGTCCTTCGAACCGTTCACAGCCGTTTTTCATCAACACGCATTTGCATAACCGCTCTATTGTCTACTCGTAGACCCGTGCCGAGCTAGTTCTTTTTAACCGAGCCTCTTAGGAATTATAGTTCCGCAATTCGACTTGGAAATTCGCGTTACGTATCCGTCGTAAGAATGTGCGCAATTTTCCTAGACATCCATCTAGTTACTGTCTAGTATTAACGCATTCTCTTTAATTGTAACGATACTGCGTAAGAAATGAACGAGGATTTGATAGAGTTTTATTTGCTGGCTGAGACAGTTTTCTTAGTTAGAATATGCAGTTTATATTGGCATCCGCTCAATTGTATTATCTGCTATGAATTAATTGAATCGCTTTCTTGTCTATTTATTGTTCTGTTTTCGTTCAGGAAATGAGCGTGGATTTTGCGCATTGTTCTCAGTTACTAGACAGAAGTTAATATAATTGTCCAGTAATTTAAAAAATGCATGAAATTTCTACCTGAGATACTTCCGTTGGGTTATTACGACGGGATTCGAAGTTTCCGGAACTTCGGCGAAATCGTTAAGCACAAGACTCATCATCCCATCGGAGATCGTCCGGTGACGAATTCTGGCAAGTAAATCGCTTATGACTTTAATTAAGAGCCAACTTTTACCGCGGTGAATCCGACGAGGCGAATAATTCGTTATCAAATGAATCGAGAGGCGGACTTATCACTGCCCCGAGTTTGGAATCGCAGGAATCTCGCCGTAAACTACACCGGCGCAAAGTAGATCGAGGCCAAGGATCGAGGAGGAGTTAGAGCGAACGCGCGGCGGCTTTTAATCACTCACTAAATGAAGCAGAACCTCACGTCGTAATACCGTTCTATGTCATCACTCGCGCGGGCGTCACGATCCTTGACGTCACATTATTTGCCAAATATATCGCGACCGGCACGTGCCGATAAGCGCGTGAATCTCGCGTCGACAGCGAAAAAACCGGGGGATCCCTCTCGGGAGAATTTCTTCTCACTTTCCACTCACTATCGTCGTATTATCTCGCGAAACTTGCTCGTCACCCTGTCGCACCTGTCGAGGTTACTGATGATCCAGCTGGGAGATCGCAGCCTCGCACGATCGACCGATTCTCGACGAGCGACAGTAATGTGTACCTTGGCACGGCATTAAGGGAGCACAATGACGGATCCACGCGGAATCGAGGTCGCGAGCCGACCCCGTCAGGACGAAGGAAACCGCGGATTGACGACGACGATGTCGGGGCGATCGCGTGGCTCGCACCAAGCCGAGCGGCGTAACATCCTTCGCGTAACTGCGGCCGGGAACAATTGACCGCAGCAACAACACCTGACGCGCGTGGGCGATCCACGTGGACGCGAGGCCGGCCCCTTTCGCTGCCAGGTGGTGCAAAAAAGAGAGAGAGAGGGAGACACGCAACGGCTACGGGCACTACGTCATCGGGCCGCGTGGGAGTCGGCGAGAACGTCGAGAGACGTTAGCCTCTTTGTTTGTCGTCCTGGCGTTGCCCTCTTTTCGTCCTCGTCGCGCACGCGGCGCGTCTCGGAAGAGAGATATATATCCCCCTATGCACGCGTACTATCGCTCCTCGCACTTCGCTTCGCGTCTAACGTGTGATGAATGCAATACCCATTCCGAGGGAGAGCCAGCCGATAAATGTAGATAAGATTGCGCTCAGTTGTAAGATAAGACGGCCGGTATTTTACGCGGTGAACACGCGACGCGACAATAGGTAGGAATAGCGGCGATATCTGACCGCTTGAGCTATTCAGACATTCGCGCGCGATTCCTCGCCAGCGACACGGCTGTGTAACGATCGCGATAGTGGGTATCGGATGAATCCAGAGCGCGGTGGATCGCTGGAATGGCATATCTGGGTATCCCGATGTTCTTTGATCTTTCGATAAATAGAATAAATCACGCTATCGTGTGGCGCGTAGTAAAGATTAAGATGCGAATTAAGATGCTTTGTAAACAGGAATAGCGTAGTCGGAGACTAAATGTAATGAGACTGAATTGACTCGATAAAAGGTGCACGTGTGCGCATTGCTCCATCCTCGGCTTCTCTCGATATCTTGTTGACGGAGTATCTTTACACGGGACAAAAAAATCTGCTTGCATCAGCCGGAAAGTATACAACCAGACGCGTCTTGATTGAAAGAAATAGCACATTTCTGCTTATAAGAATATTACATTTGGACCGTAAGAACCAGAAATTCTGTTTCCTTCAACCAAAATGCATCTGGTTGTTCACTTCCTAGTTAATACAACCAGACTCTTTTTTCCATGTAGGTATCATATTTTCACTAATGAGATTATAAATTTTCGGATAAATCTCATTTAGCTATTCCAATATTCAATATGAGAGGAAGGGCAGAGAGAGAGAGAGAGAGAGAGGGGGTGTGTGTGACTCTGTGTATATGCACAGTAAAAAATATTTTATACTTGTGTTAAAATCAGTCCTTGTAAAAATTTTTGTGTTAAATTTTTGACATCCCCGTGTGTGTGTGTGTGTGTGTGTGTGTGAAGCAGTGGAGGAGAGGAAGAGAAAATAGAAAAGTTTTCCAATTACGATTGCTAATTCCACTATTTACAGGATTGAATACCGATCGAATGTCGATAATGTCGCGTGGCACGCTTGTCAGAAATGCGAACAGCTGATTGCTAGATGACATTGCCAGACTAAACAAATGTTAATAGACAATGTAATGTTGCCGACGTGTATTGACAGCGGGAAGGACATGCGCGAGACATGTGTAAGGAATGTCGGCCAGCATGTTTACAAATGGACGGAAATTCTTTGTTTGAAAACAAAAGAGAAAAGATGAAGAGGAAGAAGAAGATGAGGAGGAGCATGCATCGTGTCGGTACACAGTAACGAACAATAACCTGTTCGTTAGTCATTCGTGTAATAAATAAAAAAACAATAAAAGACAGTATCCAACTACATATAAATGCGTTAAGTTACCAAACATCCCTTTAGTCAGCGAGATTGGCGAGATTCGATCGTTCGCAATGAGACGTTGCGAAAAACTGTAGCGAAAGATCTCTGTTTCTCATTTATCGATGATTATATTTCAAGTTTGATTACGCTTACGTTTCGTTGCGGAACGATCGACGACGTGAAGAGAGATCGAGCAACTTTGATTTTCGCCGTGACTTTCGTATCTGAATATATTCGGAACCGTGGATATACGTGGAATAACGACTAGTTTGGAAGTTATTTACCATTCCGTATAAATTGTCGAATGTAAGGTCCAGTCGAGTCTTAAGTAGCGTGTACATTTTTCGTAACTTTTGTGCCGATAAACTTATACAGTGATCCGAAAGTCTGAGTTCCACTAAAGGTGTTCTCTCATTGGCACTCATCTGCGAGTTCGTCAAATGCAATGAACACTGACGGGAAAGGGTCGTGTTCGGTTATATTTATATACGAACACTTCGACAAACTTCGTTGTCTCGGCTCGATTCGTGACACTCACGCGAGCGAGCATTTTGCAAACCGCTCTCTTTGTTCCGAGCGCATGACAAGGGCAGCCGCGATGAACAATTATGCGTGAGACTATTTTCATCGCCCGCGTTTTTGCTGCACTCGCAGTGTGCAGGCAGATCTCGTATTCTCGACGTTAAATAGTAATTCAAATGCGAAAGATGGAAAGTTTCTCCTGGTCCACCCTATACAATACAAGCATGCGTACGCAGGGAAAAATTTGCCGCTGATACTGCAAATTGTTTGTTACTATAACAACAATAAAAAGATTGTTGAAAATTTGTTAAAAGTATTAATCGTTAATTATGCCAACTGAATTTTATTGCTGTCGCAACGACGCTTTGCAACAACAGCAAAATTATATTTTCCGTGTAACAGATCTTTTTACTGCCACTGAAGTAACGAACAATTTGCTGCGCCAGTAAAAAAATTTTTCCCCGTGTACAATCGCACAACCCGCTATATTTATTTGCGCGCGTTTTCTATCGCATGAAAGCCAGATCTTCATCGATTTTCTATCGGCGCTTTTCCTCGTTCGATCATTCGCAGAAATAGCGCTCGATATTTCGCAATCGACGCGCGCGGATCGATCAACGTTGAATTAAACTGGTCAAGCAAGCACTCGCGCGGGTATTTGTTGACGATCACTTTCGACGATTTAACGCATCGTCGGATGCAGAGTGAACACCACGTGTTATGCAATTCTTGGAGCTCGTCTACATTTTAGTCGTGCAATCGATATGCCACGCGCGACCGAGAGTTTCCACGTGGACGACTACAAGCGCTAATTAGACCCCGAACATGTGCATTTGGATAATTGAATTTTTCAATATCACCTATTGTTCGACTCACGCAATTGTTACCCGCTACTGGTGCGTGTCATAAACGCTGATTTAGCCGAGAGCGAGACGTAAACGTCGACGAATGAAGGATCCATTATTGCAATTAACCACGTAAGTGTTCCCATATGTGTTGTACGGTACAAGTAACGTTCACGGATTATTTCCTACAGCTACGTCTTTTACGCCCACATAACGAACAATCAGAACATACGTTTAAATACACCGTTGCGAGGGGGGGGGTTTTTTTATTGGGCCATGTCCTGAACGCGCTTACAATGATGTTAGGGCGTTAACAAGTCAACTTATTAGCAGGAAATTTGCTACAAACACACGTGGTTATTGATTTTCCCTAACAGAGCACTGTTATCATCACATTTAGAATACGAACGATACTGAGAATGCTCATATCTCTTGACTTGTCAGCGCGTTCAGAATACGAGCCATTATCTCTAATTATATCAAGTTATAATAGTAATGTCGAATTTATACGATGATAACGTGCGATTTATACGTCACAGATGAGGGAGGGTTCAGTTAAAAACAAATATAAATGTCGTCCGAATTACAAGTACGGTTGACAGAAAATAAGAAGGGAACTGGATTCTTCGATGATAGCGATTAGAACGTCGCGCAACGTGGTAAATGATATATTCGTGGTGATATTAAACGAAGCCGATAATATGCGGAAGTTCCTGTTCCGCACGTTATCAAATATCAGCTGACCATTAAGAGAAAGCGTTATAAAACTTACCAATTAAGAAGACCGTTCCCTCGGGAGGCCCAAAAACCGTCATGTATAATGAAGCCGCTCTTTCCTGTCGTGCCTGAAATATCAAAAAAGTTACTCGTCAAAATGTTTGTTACTCCATTTGAACACAACGCCCAATCATTAGGAAATTTACCCGTGAACAATTTACAGTGATGCGATACTAAATTGCAATTAGCACATTGAGTTAATTTAGATACTCTCCTTCCTAAAAAATACCTCTCAATGAAAATTTTGCGTTAAATCACTAATAGAATATATATAATCAAAGTATAATATAAAAATGTATTAATAAACAAATAATAATAATAATAAATAAAATAATAAAGTAAATTTATTAAAATAAAAATTTGACTAACATTTGAGTCATGGTATGTGTGGTAATCACAAAAAGATTGCAACACATTTTTTGTAAGTTTCGGAACGCATCCCGTGTCCAATAGAATGTATTTTTAGTATAGATTAAGAACCCAATTTGTTCAATTTTTTTTCGGAAAGAAATTGAAAAAATATGTGGAAAAATTCGATGTTTTTCCGATATTCCTCATTCATTCACGGAAAAACGGAAAAAACTCGGATTTTTTTCAAGCCTATAAAAATATATTTTTTAGTAATTCTCAAGAGATACATTTTCCTATCGGATACGAGAAACGTTGCGAAACTCACCGAAAAAAATGTTCTACCTTTTTTGTGACTAACTATACACTGCAAGCACCACCCTTAGCTCCTATTTCTTTAAAATTCGTAGCGAAATTCTTGAGCTGTAATATGTTTACACTTCGGTTAAAATTTACATGTCATCGAGATATTTGAGATGCATTATTTTTTTTATTTACACCATTTCCTTATCTTGATTCAATCTCATAAGCTTATCGCTTATCTGCAATCTCCATATTTGTACAAAGCTGCGAGACAAGAGTGAGAGTGCGTACATCGGCGAATGCACGCGTATGCACGTAGTACGCACGCACGCACACTCGAATCTATGCGATACCGCGATCACAAAGGCACCCGTCGCGAAATGGTGATTCTAACCTGATCTTACCTGGGAGGATTCCGTTGTCCTCGAGAATTCCTGTTCTCTGTGTGTGTGTGTGTGTAGTCGACTGTCTAACGTCACTCACGCGCCTTATGTAAACACCATTTTTACTCACGATTACATTTTACTGGTGTCGCAAAGTCGCACAAACTGGAAAACAACATTCGTACGATAAAGATTTTACGGGACACGAACTGTCTCCGCCTTTCGCGTGCGTCCTGTCTATCCCCCCTCCACTTGCGTCGCCGTCGACCGCTTGGCGGCGCGCGACGCGCTTCGATCAGCTGATTGCGGCGCACGTGCGCGTTAAATTCCGCGCCGTTCCCCTTCCGCGCTTCCTCCACTTTGCGCATATAGTGCTGCACTTTTTACACACGGTTGTAATTGTAGTAAAGTTATTTCCTATTATTTAGAATATGTTTTATATATTTATAAGATAGACAGATCAATATATCTCATGGCTAGAAGAGAATTCAAGAAAATTGGAATAAAGCACAAATAAGAAGAGAACAGGTTCATCATTGATAGACTGACAGGTTGCTGAACCTTGAGTCTGATCATATTCTTATCTCTTTTCTTCTAAAACGCGAACGTTTTGTTTCATGCACGTGGGAATGTGAAAGTTGTCTGTCATAATTACACTTTCTACACCTTTTCCCTCTTTTTCTAACGGCGCGACGAAACGCTTATTCATCTTATGTGGGGAGAGTGCAAGAATTGACTGAGAAAGTGCAATGATGAAAGAGATTATCGTGTCATGTGTACAATGTTATACATAACCTCTTAAATTAAATTTGTTGCAATTTTATTGTATTTTAAAGTTAATTAAAGAAAGCTTTTTATCTAGAGACTAAATGTAAAATATCGACGATGCAAGCGTTACCGCAGAAGAAGTATTACAGACAACGTGCCCATTCAAATCCGATAGCCGATCATTGCCTAGAATAGTGAGTAAATAAACAATTTTTATCATTTTTTTCATCAATTTTTAACTAAAGAAAATTAAGGTTTTGTGATATAAGATCAAAATAGAAAAGATCGAAAAGATAGACTTGAATTGATTTTTCTCCTAAATTAAATGATGATTTAAAAAATCTGTATTATTTATCACATACACGCAGCCCTATAAAACCGGATTTGATGGATTGGAATACCTTGTACCCAGAACATTTTCATACTAACAATAAGCAAGAAACACAGAAACATGTGGAATTTGTAGATATTGGTTGTGGTTATGGAGGACTGCTAGGTAATTTCTTTTATTTCCTGGATATTTCTGGAAAATAAAAATAATAATGGACTAAATGCAATAGAGAACTTTGTATTAAAATAATTAAAAACCGACTTTTAGTTACCTTATCGCCAATGTTTCCCAATAGTCTGATACTTGGTATGGAAATCCGAATAAAGGTTGCAGACTATGTTAGAGATCGCATTGCTGCACTACGTTGCCAAAATCCTGGCAAGTACCAGAATATCGCTTGTCTGAGATCAAACGCTATGAAGTATCTGCCGAATTACTTTCACAAAGGGCAGGTGAGAGAGAAGCTCCATGATTGACCGATGCTCCCTAATACGATGCAGAGAAACCTAATTCGTGTTAATTTTCATTTTGCATAGTTAAAGAAGATGTTTTTCCTGTATCCAGATCCACACTTCAAAAGGTCGAAACACAAATGGAGGATAATAAACAAGTCGTTGTTAGCGGAATACGCTTATCTGTTAGCCGAAGGAGTGAGTACAATACTTACCTCATCGTATCATTTCTCTAAAGACTAATATCAACCTTTCACAGGCAATTGTATACACTGTAACAGATGTGAATGATCTGCACAAGTGGATAGTTCAGCACTTTCAGGAACACCCGTTGTTTGAAGAAGTATCTAAGGAAGACTTGGTAAATATAATCACTGTTTATTTTTCTAACAAGTGCACATACTGACAAATTTTCTCAACACAGAACGCAGATCCCATAGTAGAGAAATTATACGAGAGCACCGAGGAGGGCAAGAAAGTAACGAGGAACAAAGGTGATAAATTTCTGGCTGTATTCAGGAGGATCGCGGATCCTTACGTTGCGACGAATAGCTAGCAACTATAATGATTGTATACAGCTGTATATACACGTTAATGCATGATTGGTTTCTCGTGGAGGGATATTCTCGCTACCGACCGTGATTTCGGTATTGCAACGGGGTGTTCTCTGTCGTGATGCAATAATCGTGCCTCTGAAATGAATTGTAAGCGTTGAGAGAGTAAGTTTCCCACTTACTATACATATTGTCATTCAAAAATAAAGTATGACATTTTCCGATACCTTTATGAATTGTCTTTTTCCTGTTCGTGTCGGACACTGCTTTCGGATAGCTTGTATGTCTGATATCCGTGTGCTGAATCAAATGCGTAGTATCCAACGCAGATTCTTCGTGCACTATGACAAACAGCATCTAACAAATAACATTAACGATATTATATAAATGCTTCTCTTTAAAAAACGTTGAATCAGTAATGACTCTGATCAGTAATAACATCAACAATATTATGTAAATGCTTCTCTGTAAAAACACGTTAAATCAGTAATGACTTTACTTCTTCTAATATATGGTTGATTAACGTTCGTGGAGATATGTACGATTTCTGTATCACTCTTTTCCTCTCGAGCAAATTCATTTTGAATTGAGAGTAAAATAAATTGGATCGGTCCTGCAGAACGTCTCGCATCACGTTCTGGAACAGTTTGTTATTGACTATTTCCCTATAATGTGAAATATATTTAAAAAAAAAAAACATATTTATTCTCTATAAATAAGTTAAACATTTTAATGTTTTATTGTTGTTATAATTATAAAATTTAAGAACTTTACCATAGTACGCCCTCTAGAATTAACGAAGATCGACTGATATTTTCCTTCTCGAACGTCGTCTTTTGTTTTTTATTCTCCTCGATACATATCGAGACATATAAATTAAAATTCCTGCAGACAGCTCCGGTAGCTTATACAAACAAATGACAAAAATTTTATATTCCGTGGAACGAAACACGTCAGATAAAAATAGATCGTTGAAAGCGAGTGTGCAAAAGATTTCCATAATAGACAAATTCAAGCGCGCACGCAGCAAGATAAAAACTTCTGTCGACGATCTCTGCATTCTAGTTGACTTCCAGGCTGTAACGATTAGATGATTAACGATTAACGAACTAACCTGCTCTTTTATTCTAGTCTGGGACATTCGGTAAAGTACAAAAGTATTATCTTTTGCTTGCACAGAATGCTGAGATCGTCAGCAGAAATTTTTGTTGGTGTTGCTGAGTGCGCGCGAAGTTTGTCGATTACGGAGATCTTTCGGGCACTCATTTTCAATATACTATTTTTTCTCCAAAGTCTATCGTTCCACGGAGTGTAAAACTACTGTTATTTGTTTACACAAGCCACCGGGACTCTCGGCAGTCAATTATTGCTAGTCAACTGAACTGTTGCGAGCACTGCGATATTGTATTTCGACTTCCCTCCCGAGAAGTTTTTCTCTTGTTTCAGGACAAACTTTTGCATGTGCTGTTAGGGACGCGCCGGGGTGGGCCGGGAACGTCGCGGAACACGGGCGTTCGACTTCGTCGTTCGGTTCATCGCGAACGGGGCAGGCAACACACGTAATAGGCACGCCGAGCGTATACCGGATGGGTCGCAACGTGTTCCAAGTATTACAAGAGCGATCTCCTGCGTGTCGGGACTGTCGATGGGCGAAGAGACCGCGCGGGACACTCGTCCTCGTTCCCCGCGTTACCCGAACCCGATACCATCGGTTCGCGTGTGCCACCTCCGCAGGAACGTCGTCGGTCCCAGGGTGTGGCGCCGGAACCCGGAGAACGACCTTAGGCGTGACCTCGCCTGAGACCGACGAAAGCTCTTGCCGCTACTCGCGCTCATCGTTACTTTTTTTTCGGTAGTCGGACGAGTATGCTCGTCGCTCGATGCGGATTCTACAAGAAAGCGAGTTCGAGCGTTCCCGCTTCACGTCGTGGATGTGTAGGCGCGTGTTTGTATAGAAAAATGAAACTCTGTCCCCGCTTAGATAGTAGGAACCAAATGATAACTTGGCGACGAGATATGGAAACTCGGTGACAAGAAATCATATTTCTGTTACCCCGACCGAGAACATTCGTCCGAACGTTAAGCTGTGTTAAAACTCGGTTGAGCCAACCGAGAGCTGTTGACTGAGCAGGAAATCTCCTGATGACATGAATCTTTCTACTGTTACAACCGAGTTTTTCGTCTGGTCTGCGGGCAACGGAAAATTTAGTTATACCGACGAAATTTCTAATTTTTCCGTGTGTGTATGCAGATATAAAAAATATATAAAAGTTAAGAATAAAATATTTTATATGTATGTAAAATAAAATATCTTATATGTATGTATTAATCTATATTATATCTCTAGTGGGCGTTTCGACATTTAATATTCATATATCGAGGATATAATCCCCCCCACACCCCCCGAAAAATACCCAAGTTTAATTTTTACCAAATTTATTGATATAAGCGCGACATGTTTCAGCTACACGGAAGAAACTCGGTTCTTGCAACTGGATAAGGACTAATTGAAGACTCGGTGAGAAGAAATGAAAACTCAGCGACGAGAAATGACATATCTTTGTTACCGCGACTGCGAACATTCGTATGAGCATTCAGCCGCCATTAAAACTCGCTTGAGACAGCTGAGAGAGCAATTGACCGAGTGAAAGCCTCTTACAGAAATCTCTGTTCCTACAACAACAGAGTTGTCATCTGGTCACCGAGCAATTCGGGAAAATTCAGTTTATATCGACAGAATTGTTTTTATCGTGTATCTGCGCCCTCGTGTTTCCACTTTCCTAGCCAGGAGAACTGTTGGAACGGGACCACTCGTCGTCCGGCGTAACCTCCGAAAAATCCGTTGCGCTCATCCACGAATTCATTAATTTATTACCACGAGCGCGGGTGCGTAAGTGAGCGGCCGCTGAAAGTCCGGCGCTCGCCGCGGGACATTTCGGGTAGCGTAGGCGGCCGGCCGGCTCGGTGGGTAGACGAGTTTACATCGATACACGGCCGGTGGTGTCCTATAAGTGTATCGTCGAGTACGTAACAGGAAGTAACGCCGCGTGAATATTAACGAGCGCGGGCGCGCGAACACGAAACCACTCGGCCGCGAGGCTTTCGCGCGCGCTGGACACTCGCAACACGTGCAGCGTGACGCGAGAGGGACACGTGCGCGTGCTGCGCTCTCGACGACGAGCGCTGCGTTAAGTCGCTGACTGCCACGTCGATCCGGAGATAATCGAAGAACGCTGACGTTACCGGCAGTCTTCGGTCATCCGATATAAATAATGTGTTTACGGCGCAATGTAATCGTTTCATGGGAATACTTTCGTTTAACGTACTTGTGTAAGTGTAACGTATCTAGCGCTAGAGTATATCAGATAATTTTGGTGAAATTGCTTTATGGATAGAATGGTTGGTAACGTCGGTAATCTTCAATTATCTCTGTATTCTCTCTCTCTCTCTCTTTCTCTCTTTCTCTTATCGATTATAGAAATTAAAAATATAAAATTGAAATATGCAACAACATACGTATAAATAGCTATGGCAGCACATTCTCTATGGTCAATAAATGAGTAGATTACGTTAACAAGAAACTTGTGGTCAATGCTGTCCGAAATTTTGACAGAAAAGCTGTTATTTGACAGCAAGTAGGACTCGCGCTACAATGATATTCGCAATCCAAGAGCACACGTAGTTAAGATAAAATATAATGTATTTTTATACAAAATCTCTCTCTTCTTTTAACACGACAAGTACATTATTACGTTTTCTTTTATCAAATATCACAATATCCGAAGTTGCTCAAAAACTCCAAAGCTAGACTTCAAGTATTATCTAGATTCAAGTGTCGTCGACATGAGGTAGACAAAATCATACAATGAGAAATCATAGAAAACAAGAACATTATAGTTGTACAAATTATTGTCGTTTTAGATTCATGTTGTCAAGTGCAATTGCTACAAAATGCTGTCGGATTTACACCGATCTAAGTGGCTCATTCCTTGCGTTTAAATCGATCTTGGAAGGGTGGCATATCCATAATCCTAGCTGTACCAAGCAGTACCAATACTGAAAATAAGATTGCTTAATATGTAATTGTACAAAATGCGTGATCCCCCTATTGGGAATTGACATTCGCTATGGTAAGGTAGGCTTGATTCAACAGACATACCGGAGGAAATCGCATACATCACTGCTTGTCCTGCAGGGTTCTGATACTTCTTGGTGTGGTGATAAACATACAAACCGGAGCCGACTAGACCGCAACCACTCACCATTCTGCATGCGAAACATTCGCGGTCTCTCTTAGTAATAATACTGTTCACCATTGAGATATCTGACATGTCTCGACGCTGGATTTCAGGTAACGTCGAGTATATCTTGCTGACACTCGCGAAAACGCGATACTTTGGAGAGGTTAGAGAAGAAATTGTATTCGCGTAAACCGCCAAATGTTTTGATCACAAACCGGCTGTCGAGACATATAAATACCGACCGAACTGTCAACTTAGAACGAACGATACTGGGTCTGTTCTTTATAGCGGAATTGATAGCGAATACGTCTGCTTGCACACCGAGTGCGCACTAAAATTTGTTCATAGTTTGTTCTTATATTTAAAAATCGTCTTAAAACATCCTCGAATACTTCTTAGGGCTTACGCTTTAAATTCTCATTATTGGCCCCGCTTTAATGCAAGCGGTCGAATCTGCAGTAAGTTGCACTTTTAGCCTTTAAGCCCTTTGCACAGTGAAAAACCACGGGCAATAGGTTGAAAATCTATCGCATGTGTTATTCTCTGTTCCTGTTGTCTAGCATTGTGCAAGGACCTTTAGAATGAAACAAATTTATAAACCGAACGTTGAAAGGATCGAAGTTTCCAGGCAGCACTAAAAAGTACAATTGAATTCAGGAAAACAGATTTTATAAAAACTGCGTTCGGTCTTGCAAATCGGAGACATTGGATTGCTTCTAAGGTTATCTTAAGATAATATCTAGCTAATGAAACGACTTTCCTGGAGTAATCACAGCGAACCGATGACTCCGATTTGGAAAACCGAACGCAGCTAAATAACAGATCTATTAAGAAAAGAATCGGCGTCAAAATAGTCCAAATAAAAGATAAATATCGATTTCTGGTAATAAATTATATCTCAAAATCATCGAAAATAGTCAATCGACCTTTGATCTATTCAACTATTTAATATTTAATGCTTACAGAGATCTTTATTGAAAAAAAGGAACGGTATTCTGTGAAAATTAAAGGTCTGCCTAAGTCGTCGTTGAGTCGTATTACTACTTCACTTTCTCATTGAAGATAGTGGCGACTCGTAGCGGAGACTTTAGAACTATGTTTAGCAACAATAGCGGCTACTGGATCTGTCAAATATGACCAAACGGAGTACTTGGCCGTCCAACGATGAAAAATCTGATTTCTGCTACGAGTCGCGACCGTTTTCACTAAAAAACCGAAATCATATGATTCAACAATAAATCAGACGGACTTCTTCATTTTCAAGTAGTACAACTCATTACAAGTCGGACGAACTTTTATTTTTCAATAACATAAATCGAATAAATTTTGGTTCTCACCTCTTAACGAACGAGAATCCTTATGGATTTGAAGACGAATCATTTTGCAAAAAGATAAAGCGAGCGGGAAAGAAGGTGTAATTTTTATCGACGCGCAGAATCTAATATCGATTCGCATCTATCGTATATCTCGAACTCCAATTCGCTTCGCTCGCAGACACCGCCGGGGTCTTCATGCGCGCGTTTAACGTTACGATGTTGTTAGACATTTATCGCACCGTTGTCGGACAATAAGAGACATGTATGAACAAGCGGCGAGCAACTGGGCCGTCGGTCTTTACTCCCTGTTCGATCCGACAAATTTCCTGCCTTTCGTGCCGCATTTATGGAACAAGCAAGTGATAGTCTCGCGTTATCCGAGCGATACGAAGGTACGAGATACCGATGTGCTCGTAGGATATCTGATTATTTTCTGGCTGATGCTGTATCTACTGTATGAAAAATGTCTTAACGTAAGTTCAGTAGATAAATATTCGAGTTTTGCACGGCCAACACTTTTTGTACTTATATATGTATTGTGTTTCTACAGTCACTGTTCAGACGTATGCGTTTTCCACTGATACAGCGAAACAGGATAATCAAGGCGGTATGGAACTGTGGATTCTGCTTCGGTAGTATATGTTACATGATGTCATCGACTACTCAGATCTTGAGCATCGTACCCAAAAAACAGGGAATGACATATCAGGAGTTAGGGGTGGCTCTGCACAAGAGCTTCTACTTTCACCAGGCTGGAATCGATATACTATGTCATGGTGCTTGGATGAAGGGTTGCGCAAACTTACTCTTTGCATCGTTCATCTTGAATCCGTATCGACAAAAGTAATCCAACTCATCATTCCGTCATAAACATATTTTTTTTGTTTTAATCACATATACTTTCTCACACGTGGCTTAGCTTCTTCAGTTTTATTTTCTTTATTTGCCGTTTGTTCTAAGAACCCCGCATTTGTATTGCTGATATCACATCTGTTTATGTAGACTTTACTAATTAGTGAATGCCTTGCAGTTATAGGTGGTGTACAATTACGAGTACCTTTTTAATGTACAAAACTATTGACATTGTGATAGTTAATATATGCAGGGTGTTGTTGTGCGTTCTCCAGTCTACTGGAAGACCAGCTTGCAAAATACTATTCCTATTACACTGCCAGATTTGGTTAGTACGTAGTGCGTCTGTATCTATATTGAAAACTAATATATGCCGATATATCATTTATTTGCATAATCTAAACTGCAACTGTGTGTTTAGGATATATTTGTATTTGTACTTTGTGCCTACATTTATGCTCTGGTCAGAGGAAGGTAAATATGCAAGGACAGACCCTGGCTTGTGGCTTTGGTTTGCAGCAGAGTGCTTGGATTCAGTAAGTGTGTTTTATACTTTTTATTATTCACGCTATATTATGTAACTTAAAATATAAGAAAGAGTTTTTTTAGTATGTACGTTTAGAAATGTGACATGTTAGTGAGAATTTCCTATTTCATTAGATATGGCTGAAGATCTTTAGACATGCAAAGGCTACGCATTGGCTTGAAATTTGCTTGTTTCCACCGCCGACGCAAGAAGCGATCGAATTGGCAGGCATCCATAAGAGGCATAGAGAGTCTTTGAGGAAATTTAATAACAAAACAGCAAAGAAAGCCGAATTATGGCAGACGCTAGTTTGTAAGTACGCGTTCTCTGTTCTTCGATTCGAAATCAAGATTGAATTGTAACTTGGATGATGCGTTTGAAAAGGTGCGATGGCGATCAAGAAGAAAATCAAGAAGATTCGTCAAGCGAAGAATAACAATACAGATTTACCGATGGAAGATCCCGAAGAAGAAACTGACCTGTTTCGAGCGAAAGTAAGGGATGAATTGGCGGAGGAAAAATAGTTATTCGTATCGAAACTATTTTGAAAAGTAGCATTTAATTAGTCTGTTTTTTATGGCTGCATTGCCGAACTAATGCGATAAATTGAAGTGAGAGAAGTGTATGTTTTCTCACTTCAACTTATAACACCAGTTCAGCAGTGCAGCTATAAAGAATAGACCAAATTACAAAACTCTTATTAACGACGAGAGACATCCGAACTTTTACTAAACGAATTTCTTTGCGTAACGAAAGAGCATTGTTAATTGTATCACGATGTATCCGGAGCATCGAGATTACGAGTTTTCTTTCACACTATGTTGTTTCAGCGTGTCGACAAAGCGTATTATTCACAGCTAGTATTATTCGCTCTATTGTGATTCGCACGTGTATCTATATTTGTATATAATTGTAAATTAGCGGGAGGACGAATGAAGCGAGCATAGGAAATGTACATCGTATCTTCTGATGCGATGCAAGAACGGCTAGGTGCATTAACGAAAGACTATATCGTGTAGATTTTTTATACAAATTAAGTTTATTGGAGGATCTCGTAGACGTATATAAAGGTCAATGCTTTTACATTAAAAATCAATTAAGACGTATAGAGAAGCCTATAAGAGCAAATTAAAGGTAATTAAAAATGCGCCAAAGTAATAAGCAATCGTTAAGTATGGTTAACAGAATTGTACGAAACAAATGTATCGGTTCCCTATTTTGTATCATCAGTGTTAGCAGTAACTTATAAGGGAAAGTTAATTATTGTAATTTCGTTCTTATTTCTTGGTGCTTCTCACCATTTCTTAGTATATAGTTAGATGTTCGAATATATTTATTATTGTATCCGACTAAGCATCTTTCTTACCGCGGCTACACTTAACAATTTGGATTATTTTGGTGTGAAGCACCGTCACAGAAGATTGTCCATCCTCGAAGACCCGATATCGAGGCATTTATTTGTTCATCTCTGCGTTTCTTACATTTTTGCGTTGATTTTCGAGAGATTTTCCTTTGCAAGTTGCTATATTGAAAATGATCCAGAATAGGATCGAAACGTTTGTTTAATACAATTATATCCTATTCTAGCCATAAGCTTGCTTATTATTTTTGCGCATTTTTAACTAGCGCTTACTCTTTATAGGCCGTGTACGTCTCGTAGACGTATATTGGGCGTTTACGTAGAAAATTTATTATCACGTTTACACGTGTATTGCTTACGGGACATCTCGTCGATTGTATCGCGTATGTCGCAGCCTTAAGAATTTGTAATTAGCTAGATGTCTCAACGACATTAAGGGTCTTAGTAGAATATGGCTGACTTGTAATTTTAAGACAATATTCTGCGCCCTTCTTTGTCTAAATTTTAAGACAATATTTTATGTCCTTTGTCTAAAATCTTTGCCTAAATTATTATTTTTTTTTTTATCAAACAGTAGTTCGTCGTCAATCGCAAACAGAACGGTTTTTTAGTTTAAGACCTCCACAAAGACTCAAGACATAAAACGTTGTCTAGAATCGATAAGGTCGGCCATTCCGTTAAGGCCCTACGTCTCAACACGGCACTAAAATCAAATTAGCGACGCGTTTTCTCGAGACTGCTATTCGGAAACAGTATTGTGTATGATTATCTTACTAATTACTTGACGCCACCCAAAGCACTTAATGGTTACGCTAGTCATGACATTTTAGACTTAATACGATATCCCATCGTCGAGGTGGTATTCGAATCGAACACATGTTTCTTTCTTTCTGTGCGATACGATCACACGTGAATCCTCGAGGCGGCGGGCTCCAAGTTCCTCAAGCTATACAGATGAGATAGTAAGCCTGTTAATAATCAAAATGTTATTAATTACGGAATACGTTTATCGCGCAGTTGTTAATGCATTGCGTCGACGGGAGCCGTGGTGGATCGCGCTTTGACGTCATCGCCAATTTATGAGATAAAGCGAACTCGAGACACGTGAATACCATATTCGCTCATGAGTGGCAGTAGATGGAGAATGCGTAAGGCGAGAGGATTGCGTTGCACCGTGCATTGCCGAGTAACGAAATTATTATTATTATCGCTGCAATTTTAGCGGTAACGCCGGCGAGCTACTTAATTCATGCACGACTCTCTCGCTCGCAAAGTCGTCAGACGAAATTCGGCTATCTTTCGACTCGGGAAAGAGAACAGACTATTTAAGTCACGTGTCATTTGTAAACGCGCGCGGATACGTTGTCTTCGGCTCGTCGGCGATGCAGATATGGTGGTCCTGTTACGTTCCGACCGTTCGGAAAATGCAAACGCAAATAAAGACAACGATAATCCGTTAGATAAATTTAATCGACCTCATAGACACAAAATATCTCGGGACCACTCAACAATTACATCACATCATGAGGGGGGAGGTGGGGTTTATTAATCTGACGGTCCGTGATGGTAGGGAGCGGAATAAAGGCCGTAAAATGTCACATTAAATAGCATAACTTGTAAACATGGACGCGCCTGGTTATCCACTTTGTTTACATTCATGACACATTCGATTATATTTAGTGAGAATTTTTCAATTTTGAATCACGGTTCTGTGTTAATAATCCAAATGTTAATTTTTTAATATCTACTCTTTTAGAGACGTTACTCTTACTAGTAACCATTATAAAATTATAAAAAGTAATTAATTTGATACTATGCCTAAAAATTATTTGTAGAAAAAAATAGTAGCGTGCAGTCTAATAATTATTACCCACAATATGTTTATAAGCAATTTTTTTTCTTATTCTACGTATCGGCGGGAGAAAAGGGATAATTCCACGCGTCACGTAATATTAAAAAAGGATGTTTCGTGACGAAGTGTGATGAAGGAGGAGGGGTGGTAAAAAATACCCAAATTTCGCACGACACAATTGTTGGATGGCCCCTGATATTATTTTACGTCGTACGAGGGTTTTGTCGGTATGCATACGAATGTATACCTTGTATCAAAAGGATTCGCACGTTCTCATCACTCTCATCGATTCACACGTTCAACCATCGCTGCGCTCGTTGTTCCTATTGATCTCTCACGCATACACACGCAAGTGCGAGTGCAGGCATTGCTCGTTTGGACGAAGTGAAAAAAAAGTCCCGGCTAAGAGAATCTCACGGGAAATTCGTGTTGGCGCGACAACCGCGGTTAGGTGGTTTACCGTATCCCGGTTATCGTCGTCCGACACTTGGGATTAACTTCGCTGGAATTGGGAAAATGGATCGTCGGGGCAACGATGGCTCTTTCCCGTTGGGCTTGTTTGTTCCCACCCCGCGAAAGACATTCGTGTGGTGACTCCTGAACGAAGGGTCGAGATGCGTTGCTCGTGCTTTACTTTGTTTTTTATTTCGAGAATAACGTCTCGCGACTTCGAGCGAAGACTTCGGTGCGACGTTCTCGTTACATCCTCGAGGTATAATTCGCAAGTGACGATTGAATTACACACGTATAACCTGTCGTTTATCGGCAAAATCATTGTATTTCGATTTCCAAATGATATATCACGCACACATTTGTAGGGTTAATAAAACTCTTACAAATTACGTTCATCGGCCGGTAAATCATCTATCCATAATGAAATTTATTTAATCGCGCCGATACAATCTATAAGAAGTCTTTCTTTTCATACTAAATTATATCGAAACGTACAAAGTATCAAACGACGATCGAAACTACGCCTCATAGTCACCGATTACATGTGTCCCTTCTCACTAATTAAAATTATCGATCGTAGTACTCCTCACGTTTTGTCTTTATTTTTTTTATTTTTATTTTTTCGTCCTTTTTTCCTCCTTTTGGCAAGAACGGCGACGCACCGCCGTCGTTAATTGAAACGAATCGGAATTCAACGGTATACCGGTAGGAAGACGACGAAATCATGGTAACGCCACTTAAACAATCCGTTCTCGCGTGTATGTGTGTGTGTGTGTGTGTGTGTGTGTGTATACATTATGCGCTCTGTTAAAATCCGTCAATAATAAACGCCCGCGGCACGCGTCGGGTCGGAATCGGTCGGAATCAGTTGTTCGTTCATTCGTTCGTTCGTTCGTTCGGTCGGTCGGTCGGTCGGTCGGTGCGCGGCGCTTGAACGAATACAATTACGAAAGTTATACCCTTATTACAAACATATACACATTATGAGCAATAAAAGTTGAGTCCTCTAAACTTCCTCATTTTAGGCCCAACCTGTACCTCTGCGTCGTGTAATCGATGCAGATATTTAGAATATTTCACTTTTTATTTAAGTTTTTTTTTCTTACGAGAGAACACGCACTTTCGTTCTTTGTGAAAATATGGCCCCATTGTTACAGGCTCGATGTAGTGTTGGGAAATTGTAGTATTCCTCTTTATTTTGTTCCTGAGTCTGCAACAGGCTTCGTACAACTTCGCGCCACTTGCATCCTTCGTCGGCGTTTTCCTTCCTCCTCTCTTTCTATTTACCACACTCTCTCTCTCTCTCTCTCTCTCTCTCTCTCTCACATTCCCATTTCTTTTTCCTCGATAAAACATGTTCCGTCGTATCCGCACGAACGCGTCTTCCGTACGAAAACAACGGCGCGGCCTAATTCCCGTCTTGAACGCAGGGGGGGGG